AGTATTATTTCTCTATAACGTACTTTTATTGAAAGTGTATCGGTATATTCAAGCAACAAGTGTTTCAGCCAGAAAAAGTATAAAAAGTATAAAAGTATAGGAGTACAAGGTAGAAAAAGTATAAAAAGTATAGAAAAACAAAGTAGAAAAATAAAAGTATACAAATATTATAATTAATAATATATAAGAAAATTGTAAACCATTCTAAGTTGTTTACAGAATTTTCATAATTTTATGAAATATTACAAATTATGAAATTAACAAATTTTATAATATAATTGTAATACTACTCCTAGTCTCAATTCAATTTTAACTTTAAGTGTATATACTATATACTTGATTATAAAAAACTTACTTTCTGAATAATTGAACTTTTTTGTTAATATTAATTAATAACTTTAATTATTATCATAATCTTTAATCTTAATTCTGCATATATTACATACTTGATTTTGAAATATTAGTGAAAAACACAAAAAAGAGAATATTTACTTTTTTCAACTTTCTATCCAATAATGTCATAAATCATAATAATTATACTATATTAGAATTTCTCCTTTATTACTTGTAAATCTTATAAATGATTTTAATAACAAATTAATTGATTTTTTTCTTACATTTTATACTATTATAATCAATTTGACCATAAGTATGACAAATATATGACTATTGACATGAATTCTTTGCAACAGCTTTATATTGTTTAATCTCATATCTACTCTTTTATTTAGATATCAACAAATTAGTAATTGCTAAATTATTTTCTTTATTACTCTCCTTATTTGATACTTCTATTATTTGCTAGTGAACATTACTTCTGATTAATAAATATTCTTAATTATTGAATTATTTTATTATTATTATATTTAACTGCTAATTGTATTACTTGTTATGTAAGACTTTATTTATATTTTGTCATATTTAGAATATTGAGCTGCTATATTTTGGATGCTTATTCTACTAACTAAAAAATAATAAGTAATTGTGAAATTATTGATGTGATATAATTTTGTTAATCTTGACTGGCATACTTATTTATGAAGATAATATTCAATTGATTAATTGCATTTTTCTTATTATTATAATATCTATATAATGTTATCATTCTTATATAAAATCCAGCAATCTGTGATACTAGTATTGTCTGAAAATAATAATAACATATAATATTATGAGAAATATTAAACATATATATATATATATATATATATATATATAGAAAAGCAACAGAATCAACTAATCAATATAATACTAATATGCAAACTCAAAATTTAGTACAAATTGCTAATAATTAATATTCAAGAAGCTATTGCTTACAATTTTATTAGATTAATTAGGTTTATTATATTTGTTAGATTTGTTATGTGTTCTCTGACAAAATAGATAATTTAGCTTCTTTTACTTTAATCATAATATAATCTAGCTTTTCACTGATAATAACAACAAAAATGAATTAAATAAAACTTATTTGATTCAGAATTAACTTAACTAAATTTGCTAAAAACTAAATATTGCATAAATTAGTGTAAGTAGATAAAATAATACAATAATTAATTATTAACTTACAAAAAAATCAGTAATATTATCAAGAACTCAAATTGTTATATATTTTTAAATGAAAAAACAAAAATTAATTTGTTAGTAATAATTACTAGAGTAGTTTAGTAAATTACATTAATATGTAACTCAAGATCTTATAAAATCACGTAATCTGTAACAAAATAAAATGTAATAAAGTGCAAAATGAATATTTATCCAAATAATAAAAAGATAAAATAAAAAATAAAATAATAAAAAGATAAAATAATAGTATTTAATGAGTTATTTTTACTATTTTTTATATTTTTAATATTTTTAAAGTTTTTTTATTATTTTTGAAAGTTATAATTTTTTTGAATTTGTAAAATTATTGTTATTACTATAATAGTATTATTTTTTAAATATATTATAATTGCTAAAAAAATTTATCAGATTTATTAATTATTAATTAAATCAAAAATTTTTGTCAATCTAGAACTATTAATAAATAATTATATAAAAGAATTAAAAAAGAACCAACAAATTCTTAAAGATTGCTTCAGTTTTATATATTTTTAAAATCTTTAAAGTAAATATATAAAAAATATTATTTAAATACTTTGAATATATATTAATAAATTACAACAAAATATTAATAAAATAGAATGAAAATTACTAGTAAACTAATTAAATATTTTTATATTTTATTAAAATTAAATAATTTTAAAAAAATAATTATTAATTTAATTAAATTTTTTTATTATAAAATAATAAAATTAATATATTATAATAACAATTAATTATTTTATTTATTGGTCTGAAGCTAAAGTTATACTAGATAAATAAGTAATTACTATTACAAAATATATCTTTAAATAAATTATTTATTAATATAAATATTTTAAAGAAATTTAATATGATAAAAAACTAAATTTATAAATGAAATTATTAATAAATTAGCAAATTAATTTACTATTACAAAATTTACCTTTGAATAAATTATTTATTAATATAAATATTTAAAAAAAATTTGATATGATAATAAAACTAAATTTATAAATGAAATTATTAAATATCATCCACAAATAAATAAAATAATAAAATAATTTAATAAAATAATATACTTAATACTTTAAAAATATTTTATAACTTTAAAAATCAATAAGATTAATATATATTAGTAATATTATTTACTTATAAAATTTAACAAATATAAATAAATCTCTTTTCTTGAAACTATAATAAAATATATATTTAGAGAAGATATATATTTATAAAGAACAAAATATATAGAGTTTTTATGAACTAGAACTTTATTATTATATATTTAAAGAAAATGTATACTTATAGAAAATTGTTTTAGAGAAATTTATCTATATATTTATTTTATTAAATATATTAATATATTTTCAAAATATATAAATATAATATAAAATAAGTCTTGAGTATTATTAATTAATTATTATAAAAATCTAGCCAATCAATAAATATTTCTTGTTTATTATTAATAAATTTGTATATTAATTAATTAATTAATAATTACTATACTTTTATTAATTATATATTATTGAATATTAAACAAAGTTACTAAAGAATATTAATATTATATTGCTTTAAAACTGTTTTTATACTAAGTAAATATATTATATATTAATAATAATAAAGATCTATTTAATAAATAGAATAAAATATATTATATAGCAATTTCAAAGTGATTAGATTTGATAAAATCAAGTATATAAAGCATGAATTATATAAATATTAATTAAATATTTATTTTATAAAATTACTTACTTATGACAACATGTATTTAGATAGATATCACAAATTGCTAATATAAAGATATAGTATATATATAATAATATTGGAATTACTAACTCTGAGAAAATAAATCTCACAATAGTTATTACCAATAAAGATTATCATTAATTTGAACAAAAATGAGAAACAATTAATTATATTTATATTTTTCTTTCATTTACTATATTTGCTATAGAGGTATTACATTTTATTTGTAATAGTCGTTTCACACTAAAAATGTGTTATATTAATGATTTTATATTTGAAAATACAGTTATATAACGTTTTTTCATTTTGATAACAACTATATAAAATATAAAATAAATAATGATTTTATATTTGACAATATGGTTTTGTAATGCTTTTTCATTTTTGATAACAACTATATAAAATATAAAATATAAAATATAAAATAAATAATTTATAATTATTTAAAAATAATATAGCTTATCTGACTGCTCTATTCACTACAGAAATGGTTAGCAAATTGATTACGTATTTAGGTTAATTTTGATTTAGGTAAGTTTTTCATGCGTTCCGAATTCTATTTCTGAAAACTTTTTGTGTGGTGGTTGGGTAGTGGGAATTACGCATATGTTTAATTAGAATAGTATTTTCTAAGCATCTTTACCATTCTCAATATCAATATGTTATTAATAAACTCTCGCAAGACATATGTATTCTGAGTTATAAATTATACCCTACTAATTATTACTGTGTGCATTCGTGGCATAGCTAATAAATTTTGCCTTCTTTTTGAATATACAAATCGACACTTGTAGACTTGGTGTCAATATCTATGTCATATTCAATAGTTACATTTGCTAGAGTTGTGCACCAACAAGTATTTTGTTATATAAACGTACATTTGTGCAAATATTTTACATGTACTATAAACTTATATTTTAGTACGCATGCAAATCAGAAAATTTTAAAAATTGGCTTAGTCGTATGATCCTATGCAACGAGAGATATACATGTATAAATTCATTCGAATAATTATAATCTAGCTGATTTTAGATGAGCTCTGAAAATAAAGTTAATTTTATTGATAAAAAATTATCATAATTGAATTTATTAATTTATTATACAAACATACGCATTATAAAGTTCCTACGTATTTATTATCACCAATTGAAATTTGATGCAGTCTGTCCAATGGTACCACCATTACCACCCTGACCTACACCAGCGCCTCCAATACCTGTACTACCAGCAACAATACCACCACCATTGGTAATACCACCTCCACCGACACCAACACCGTTACCACCATTAGCATTTGCAACTTGATTATTGG